TACATTATATATGTATATAAATTATTGTTATAATTATATAAATAATTTCTTTAAGTTATTTTTCCTAAAACATAGAATAGTAAATAAAGAAGCAAGTATGAAAGAGATAAAGGACTTGGTTTCAACTGCTTTTCTACCTCATTTTCTATATGTTTCAGCTCTTCTCCCACCTCTTCCATTCCCCGAAGTCATATCTGATAGACTTCAGTTCCTGTAAGAAAAATACTTCATTGAAAAAAGATAGTGTGTCTTCTACGTGGCTTATTACAATTAATTTAAACACACTTGTGCACAACTGATCAGTTAAATAGTGTCAGTCAGATTTCTCAGAAGTCTAACATGTTTAAACATCATTTCAAATGTGCAATAAACAGCAAGAACCAAATATGTTACAAAAAGAACTATTTCGGTAAGTAGCATACGTGGGTGGAAAGATCACCTATTCACTTATCTAATCACCTAATCGTCTGAGTTTTGCACAAATCACTTTTGTACTGTAAACAATCCTAAGCCATAATGTAAACTTATAGCTTTCAAGCCTTTTGCTTTTCTTAGATAAAAATGAGAATGCCAAATTCACATGTCATATCCCTCCAATCACATCCTGTTTTGTTTAAAAGACAATAATTCTTTCCTAGATAGGCTTTTGCATTATTAATAATCAACAGAAAGAGAAGAACTGGTTCTACTGAATTTACTAGATTAGTTTGTTCAACTAACAGTTTTTCAAATATTTGGCCTCAGTTTTATCATTTGACAATTAATCAACCAGCTAATGAAATTTTTAACCCGTCAATAACTTAGTTACAGAGCCAGTTAAACTAATAGTTTTAGGACAATTTTTGTTTTGTGTAAAAGTATGGTTACATTTCTTCATCTTCAGGACAGCAAAAACAAAGATCCAAATAAACTAAGTATTGAATTTCTTGTTTTTACATTTTTTTCCCCTATTAAAAAAGTAACTAAAATGTGAAAATTAGAAACTTATTAGGTTAGGTAAAAACTTATAAAAAATTAAATTACTTGTGATAGCAAGTTACAATATGTAATCATTCTAAAAATGGAATAAACAAAGAAGCATCTTTAATCTGCAAAAAGCATATAATGCAGAGTACAGAGATTAAATACATTATATTAAAACTGTTTTTGAGCCTTACTACATCATAACATCCATGCCTCCACTTCTAGTCATGCTGAAGACTTACTTTTCTACCATAAAAAATTAACCACTTCCATCTTCTCTTGTATCAACAGACCTAAAGGATAATGTAGAACTATCAGTGTTGTCTTGTTATACTTTTAACTGTAATTCTTTATATTACTACTTCTATAATCCAGTTTATACTAACATCAGTTAACATGTGAAATCAATGATCATTCATCAGTCATATGCAATAACATCATCTGCTGGTATTTATAACAATCAAATGCACAAATGTTACAGTGGACTTTATATTTTTATTTTGGCAACAAATACAAGAAATTATTTGTTTTTAATACCTTACTGGCACAAAGTATACTTAACTTTTATCACATTGATCACTAAATAAAACAAATTCTCCTAAGAAAAAAATCCTGTGATAGTCAGGATATTTTGTTTGTTTTATTTCCTTCCAATTAACTGTGAAAAATCAGTAACCTATTTAACTTTATGATGCCCAGATTCTTCCCCCATGAGGAAAGATCACCCATTCACTGGAGCTATGAGCTGATCATCTGAATTTGGCATAAATCACTTGTACTATAAATGATGCTGACATATGTAAATTCTAGCCTCCAAGTTTCTAGATTTATTTAGATGTAAGTAAGATGTCAAAATCCCATGCCATGCCCCTCCTGTCACATCCACTATTTCAAAAAACATTCAATTCTTTCTGACATATGTTATTGGATTGTTCATAACCTATAGATGCATAATATTTGGTTTGGCTGAATTTTCTATTAGACTAGCTTGTTCAGCTGACAGTTTTGAAATGTTCAGCCTCAGTTTCATTGTTTGACAATATGGACATTGAATCAGCCAAGTAACAGATGAGCTTAATGCAAAAAAAAGTGGTCTACAAAATATAGGTATTAAATTTCTTGTTTTTAGTTTATGTTTATTTGCTGTTAAAAATAACTAGAATGTAAAAATTAGAAAATTAGATGATGTAAAAAAAAAAGTAGCTTAATCATAGCAAGCACATCACAAAGCATGACAGTAATTAACCTGACAATGTGTGCCATTTACTAGGCTCTTTGTTTATACAAAGCTGTCCTATGTAATAGATTGGCTGTACCCTGAGAAGGTCTAAGTGCAACTGTAAAGCACCAAACTAAATACAAGGTCTAATAGCTTTGGCTGTAAAAATACATTGTGTTTGTGTAATAATCTATTACAATATGTAGTTATTTTAGAATGAAAAAAAAACTGTTCATTTTACCTTACATTGCTGGTTTCACTACAGTTATTTAGGATAGATAAAATAACATAAAATACTTTACTGAAAAATAACTTTTGGTATTAGTTTAGGATGTTCTTAAGATTATTCATGTGAAAAATGGAATAAGAAAAAATGTGTATTCAACACAAAAACCACCTTGCATTCAGACTAGTTAAAAGTCTCAATCAAACTGACTGAATAAATTCAGTGACAAATCTTTAATAAAAGTACTTCATTGAAAATTTACTTTTGATTCTGCAAACTTTTTTACACTTGATAAAAGCTTGCAAAATTCTGTAAAGATACACATTACAAATTCATATTAACAGTAAACAATAATTTTCGAATATAGAATCAGCCCAAAAAGCCTACCCTGTGTACATATCATTACAAATGAAAAATAAAAGCAAAGAACATATGGAATCTTACATTTAACAAAAAAAATCCCCTTTCTTATAAGTAAATGTTTGAATAACAACTGCTTACAGAGTGATCCAAAGTAGAAGATAAAAGCACATCAGGACTTGATTCATCTGCTTTTCTACCTCACGTCCTAGTTGTTTCAGTTTTCCTTCCTCCTCTTCTATTTCTCGATCCCACTGTTGATGGAATTCAGGTCCTGCAAGATGCACATTTAATTGAAAAAAGTTGTTTAGCATCTTCTACAGGATTTGTTATAAATAACTTAAATGAACTTGTGGACAACTGATCAGTTAAATAGCATCAGTCAGATTTCTCAGAAGTCTAACATGTTTAGACATCATTTCAAAAATACAACAAACAGCAAGAACTAAATTTGTTATGAAAAGAAAAAAGTACATTGTTTCAATAACTAGTTTTTGGGGGTAGAAAATCCCCCCATATGCTAGATCTACAAACAAGTACTGAAGACCATGTGTGTATCCAAATCTAACACATGTCACATTATAAAGATATTTATTTGTACATCCCAATTGTATCCAAAGAAATTAGATAGGTAGATATGTAGCCCCTTCCTGTTGTTTGGGAGGGACTTTAAGTACTATCCAACTTCTTTCTTACTATATGGATTCAAGATCACAATAATCCACCAGCAAATATTATTCACGTTACTATTGCTCTTGGGATTCCATCTAAAAGTTAAGATTTCAAAGTTGGTACTGCTAAATAAAAAATTTGTGGAGAAACAAAGGAAGTTCTGGTAGTTGCACAGTTTGCATACCATTTGCAGTCATACACCTTTTCAGAAAAAGAAAAGCATTATCCATCCTTCAACTTTATTCTGCAGCATTGTTAACGCATTTGACAGTGAACTAAAGAGTTGGAATTTATGTAAAAATTCGTTAATACAGTTTTACACAAACATCATTCATTAGTTTCAATGTTTTTATACTTATGTAAATTTTATACTTACAGAAACTGAATTTTCAAAAAAGTTTCAATCTATACTTTAATTATAATTATAGGCTTTTCTTAGCTTGCCTTTTACTCTGCTATTCAAAGAAACATAGCAACTAGACAGTAAGTAACATAGCAACTAGACAGTAAGTACTTCAGTAATACTGATCAGCAACAAGTTGAAACAAGTTTAGAAAATAGGATTTTTTATAAATTAATTAATAACAAACTTTTTGACATATTGAAGTTGATTCTGTGCAGGCAAACAAATTTTATTTTGCCACAGTAGAGCCAGTTCCTGCAACTCCACCAATTCTTCTGAACATACAAAAACATCCTGCTCATATTAAATGGTAATGTGTTATAAGATGCTCCCTAAACTGGATCAGTTTTATTTTTAGGTACTAATATCAAACTTAAAAGAAAGGTGGAAGTCAGGAAAATAAAACAAACACTTTCAAGTATTATGATAAACATGAATATAGTATATATACATTACCTGGTATTGTGATCTGCGTTTGTTATTGTGCGTGACTTTTTATGCATACATTTTATGAATCAACCTTTATGTTACAAATAAATGTTTGTTTTTATTAATTGCAAGTATTTTCTAGTGTAAATAAAAGTTTAATTAATATTTTGTTCTTCGTTCATTTTATTGGAGTTTACAATAATACAGCTATGTTCTTTACTTCAATATTTTTATAAAGTTCAAACACATAAAATTTGGAATGATGTTAATTTTCATTACGTAATATAAAGAATATGCATAGGGTCGGATTGGTAATTTAAAGGGCCAGCCCGGCCAGTATCTCTAATAGTGCCCCAGTAATTTTTCACGTGCTTCATACTGGCTAAACAAGAATGAATCAATTGCTAGGTGGGTCAATCCACCCCTAAATATGAAAGAAATGCATTATAAAATGAGTTTATAAACATTCTATATTACAGTTATTTCACTGCAATATTACGAATATTAGTTTTATTTTGGAAGCAATGTTATAAACATGTAAAATTACAACTTTTCTGACTTTCGGTCTATTTCAAACATGACTAATGTTGGTGAAGTCAGCTGGGCTTCCTCTAGAAACTAATATTTATTTACTATATAGAAGACAAATTTATAACTGTTTCATCGCACACTATACAGTATTTCCTGGAACGTTCCTTTGGCTGCTAAAAGAGAAGCACAAGACACCTATTATTACAGCAGCCAGGTTTTACATTTTATTTGTTGAGCTAAAGGTCAAATGTTGATTTGAAATCAGGCCGAAATGCTTTGTTATGGGACCACTGGGGAGGAAGTAGTCTGAATGGAATCTGACCCTCCAAGGTCGCACACAACTACAATGTACCTATCCAGACAGACAAACAGCTATGGGACCACTTATTTTTCAGTCTAAAGTAAAAAAAAAATCTTATAAACTGCAATGTATAATGAAATATAAATGTAAAAAAAGTTATTTAAAATTTTGAATCACTCAATACTGCATTCTAGGCATTAAATCCTGATCCCAGCAAGTTATTTCACGATCTGGATGGATGATGAAACTTTCTGCTCCACAAGGTATAGAGAGATTTTCAGAGAAAATTGCCCTGGCCATTAAGTGATGGTAAACTTGGAGAACAATTTGAACATCACTTGAAATGTAGTAAAATCAGAGATAAAAACTAGTCATTAAGCAACACTGCCATAACTTTTTACTCAAGGCAATAAACCAGATTGATAAGACAACAATAAAAATAGAATATATGAAATATTTTAATCTTAGTGTTTGTCTTAGACAAATTAAGCCATGCTTCAGTGATCCTTCCCTCCAAGAAAATTTTGATATAATTAAAGTGGCTAATCAATATGAATGCATCTCTATGAAAACTAATTGGTGAGATGAATTTTCTGGTTCACAAATTCCATAAGACAGTTGAGTTTTGAGCTTTTGTTGAATTATGAAAATGCAGTTGAAGAAGAATGTTGTAAATAGTTAGCAATCATTGCTTTGAACTCACTGTATTCCTCGTAGTACTGCATTTGTTGAACGTTTTTTTTTTCACATATAACAAATGTTAAGACAAAGGCAAGAAACCATCTTAGCCCATTTTATGTGCAAGAATAGACATACAATAAGAAAATTTTTTCCCAAGGTTTTGAAGTTACAGAAAAAAATGTTAGTACTTTTCACAAGCCAAATAAACAAGAACTGTTACAAAAACTGACACAGTGGATTTTGATGTAGAGTCATTTGATGAAATTCTTCTATTGCATTTTAAACTTACTTCAGGTAAGCTGAATTTTGAAAATAAATATTTATATTAGTTATATTAAAATATGAACTATCTGGGTATTATTTCTACAAATATGTATTTGTCCCCTTCTTTGGTTTGAATATCCAGTTTTTAAGAACAGGGCACCTGCCAAACCTGCATGGAATTATATGTGTTATCTTGTTATAGTTTCAACAGTACTTCTTTATATTACTACTTCTATAACTCAGTTTATACTTGCATCAGTTAACATGTGAAATCAATGATCATTCATCAGTCATATGCAATAACATCATCTGCAGATATCTATAATAATCAAATGTACAAATGTTAAAATGGACTTTTTATATTTTATTTTGGCTACAAATCCACAAAAGGTTTTGTTTTTAACAACTTACTGTCAAAAGTAAGTTTAAGTTTCATCACCAAATACAACAAATTCCAATCCAGTAAGAACAATCCTCCAGGAGCCAGGATATATCTGTTTTATTCCATTTTTCTTAAATTCACTAATTAAACTAACTTCAAAAGACCACAAAGCTTTAGTTAAATAGAATTTGAATTTAAAAACTTCAGAATCACATAACTACCAATAGTTCCATAACCAGTATATGAATCCTATAAATATTGCATGCAGTAAGAGAATCCACTTAAACCTCGTATGGTGAAAAATTAAAACATTTCAAGATCATCTTGAACATAATTAACTATTCATTACTTTGTAAAGCTGTGAACCAAATGACTTTACCTTTTCTCTTTTTAATGGAGTCATTAAAGAAAACTAAGCATTTATCATGTAATAAATTGGGTGGTCTCAACTTATATCTTCCCATTAACTTAAACTGGGACACCTTTCTTATAAGTAAATGTTCAAACAACTGCTTACAGAGTAGTTCAAATTAAGACAATAAAAAAAATTAGCACTCACATAAAGGACTTGGTTTCACCTGCTTTTCTATGTTTCAGCTCTTCTTCCATTTCTTGAACCCATATCTGATGGACTTCAGTCCCTGTAAGAAGGATACTTCATTGAAGAAGGATATTGAGTGTCTTCTACATGGCTTGTTACAAATAATTTAAACATACTTGTGCACAACTGATCAGTTAAATAGTGTCAGTCAGATTTCTCAGAAGTCTAACATGTTTAGACATCATTTCAAATGTGCAACAAACAGCAAGAACTTAATATGTTATAAAAAATACTTTATTTCACAAACTAATGCGTGTGGATGGAAAGATCATCTATTCACTATCTATTAGCTGATCACACAAGTCTTGCAAATCACTTTTGTACTGTAAACAATGCTAAGTCATAATGCAAGTTTCTTGCTTTACTGAGATATAAATAAGAATGCCAAATTCACATGTCATATCCCTCCAATCACATCCTGTTTGTTTTGTTTAAGACAACAATTCTTTCCTAAATATGCTTTTGCATTATTAATAATCAACAGAAAGAGAAGAACTGGTTCTACTGAATTTACTAGATAAGCTTGTTCAACTAACAGTTTTTCAAATACTTTGCCTCAGTTTTATTGTTTGACAATTAATCAACCAGCTAATGAAATTTTTAACCCTTCAATAACTTAGTTAGACTATAGTTTTAGGACATTGTATTTTTATGCATGCTAGTATTTTGTTTTAAATTTCATACTTGATATTTAAAATAATGTTTTTATGGTACACCAACATATTAACATAAAAGTATGGTTACATTTCTTCATCTTCTGGGCAGCAAATACAAGGATCCAGACAAACTAAATTTCTTATCGCATTTTTTTCCCCCTATTAAAAAAAAGTACAGAGGTTAAATATATTATATTGAAACTGTTTTGGAGGCTTACTATACATGCTTCCACTTCTAGTCATGCTGTTTGTTTATTCCATTTTTAGAATGACTACATATTGTAACTTGCTGTCACAAGTAATTTAATGGTAAAGATTAATAACACATTATTTATCTTAATTAATCATTCCTTTTACTCTACTCATTATTCAGAAGAACTGGCAAACAAGGAAGCTAGGGTTATTGAAATACTAGCTGGAGTTATGTAAATTCATGATTAATGAAAAGTTATCTTAGGACAAAAATTTGCATCCCTTATATGTAATTGTAAAAAAATGTCCATAAAAATTGCAGGCCAAATAAGAAATAAATTCCATTATAACATTTGTGCATTTGATTATTATAGAAACCTGCAGATGATGTTATTGCATATGACTGATGAATGATCATTGATTTCACTTGTTAACTGATGCAAGTATAAACTGGGTTATAGAAGTAGTAGTATAAAGAATTACAGTTAAAAGTATAACAAGACAGCATTGATAGTTGTACATTATCCTTTAGGGCTGTTGATACAAGAGAAGATGGAAATTGAGAATTTGTTTTTGGTAGAAAAGTAAGTATTACTTTTAATATTGTTCGGTGTTATTAGTGAAATAACTTGAAGCATCTTTAATCTGTGAAAAGCATATAATGCACTAATTCAGATTTATAAATTATCAATATAAAATTAATAAAAGTAACACTTTACCAACTTAATCTAGTTCACACCATAAGTTGTTCATAAATTTTAACGAGATATTCTCAACCACTATTGTGTCAATCATATCCAAACTGACATGAAAGGCCTTGTCATTACTGGATATAGCAGATATAGTGTTGATAAACTTTATTTTTATTACTTTCTTTCTTAACTTCTAAGATTTAGAGTTAAAGCAAACAAATTTATATTATACAAAACTATACAACAGCAGTGACCCCCCCCCCAAAAAAAAAAACTTTTATTACCTGCATGCCAAAAATTTATCTGAAAAGTGACCAACATCAAACCCAAACTGGAAAAGAAAGTTATTAACTACAAACAATTATTCAACTATCACACACTGTTATCATAATCATGTGAAGAAGTGTTTTGAAATAACGTCTTTGCTCCCACAGTTACAGGGTGCTAAGTGGTGTGTAAGAATGATGCCTCGCATTTATTTCTTTACTGTGGTAGAATGGATGCTACTCTATTACTGTAGCTCTACATATAACAGTGAAAGTCATTTCTGTTTTACTATAGGTATTGTTTCTGGTGAACATGGCTGTATAGGTCATGTTGGAACAGACTTATTAATGGCTTCACAAAAAGACTTTTAACAAGATCATCTGTAAAGGAAGCACAAGTACAGGTGTCTCTTGGAGAAGTTTATCAACATTAGTGTTAAAGATTCTCGGTCGGCTTTGGTAAAGTCAGAAGGGGGCACAGATATAAATTTTGATTTGTTAGAAAAAATTTAAATTACGATCCTCGCCTATATTTTAATGAAATTGAGAGTTTATAGAGCATGAGACAAGAGAAAACTGCAGCAAATTTAAGATATCTTGCAAACCATTTACATGGAGATAGGGATATTAATGCTCAAGATGAAAATGTTATTACCATCGATAAATAAATATAGAATACTATTATAATTAGCAGAACATGGATCACTGGTTATGCCATGTTCAGTTTTGGGTTCCTTACATTGTTGTTCCTTAAATCTTGTGTTAAACAAAGGGCATGGAATGTATCCTGGGTGGAGGCACAAGAAGTTTCACACACACACAAATAATATATTACTGTATAATTACATGCATATCTGTTTAAACCTGTGGTGCACTACTAATTTTTTTTAAATTTGACAGAGATGGGGGGGGGGGGAGACCAAGTACCACAGACAAGAGGAAGGACCTGTAACAATTTTGAGAACCACTGTTCTAGTAAATAAAACAAACACACACACACACAAAGAAAAAAATTGTGAATGGTAAAGTGAAAAATAGGTCTCCATATTACTTAGTTATTCGTACTGGATTTTTGTGCATTTTAGTTAACTGTAACATAATTTAAACTGTAACATCTTATTTCAGACAAACTTACATGTAAATTGTGGTAACATTTGAGGTTCTAGAGATTATGCAAACTATAAGGAAAAAGTATTTTTATTCTTCACATGTAAACTCTGACTTGTCAGCCTGAATTCACAATTGTCAATTTTAAAATTAACAGCCATATCATGGGTATAAATACTGTTGTGACACATACAATGTGTACAACAAGCTTGTCCATTTAAAAATAACCTTGTCAAATTTTGAGTAGATACACCTAATAAATTCGTTATTATAGTTAACATTCCTTCTCCAATTTGGGGTCAGACCAAGAAAATAATGTTAATGCCATATAAGCAAAAGCTTGGAGCCAAAAACCCCATTTGAAAAACCACCTTAACAAATGTCACCTAACTGAACATTAATTTCTAAAAGTAAAAAGTTTCAACTTAAACATGTACAACTGCAAATACTGAAAATGAAATAATTTGTTGAAGAACAAAAATATGTACAATCGTCATACTTATTTAGATTTAGTTCACTGCAAATTGTACTAGTACTAATAACTTAAAGTAAATTTAGTTAACACTAACTATAAAGTATAAGTTATAAAAATAAAATAAAGAACTTAAAATTTTAACTGAAATAAATGTACATTGACAAGTTTAACTATGAAACTGATTCGCATTGCTATCTAGGCTAAAAAATATTTTATTTCGTCGTTTACTGAACATTTTATTTATAGAACATGCGTTTTCACGTTTTTGTTAGCAAAAACTAGTCTGGGCCGTTCAACTATAAAACGTAAAATCAAGACAAAGGTTTATAGCGTTTTGGGACAGCATGGACCGTATTGGTCCATCTCTGCTGTTCCATCCTCTAAAATAAATTTTAAAAAAACTTGCAAGTTAAAGCCAGCATTTATCATTCATATACTTATCAAGATTTTTCTCAAGCTCACTTGAAGTTGAACACCCTGGTAGTGTTACAAAAATATATATATATTTTTTTTTTATGAAACAATCATTTTTCGTTTCAATTAGTTACGTAATCTTAATAATATACATGGGGTATGAAAAATGTGTAACTAGAAATACTTCGTAACTGGTTAACACTTACTACAAAAAATTAAAAAAGAAAAAATATTACTGAGCTAAATAAAATACTAGCTGATCAATTAGTTCAGACTCGCTTTGAATTTCCCTGGGTAACAATTTAACTTCTACTACTACTAATAGTAGTACTAGGTCTAAATTCGATTTAATACTTTTATGAATATGAACAAAAGAAACATGAAATACGTTTTTAAATATTTCAATTAAATTATCTTTTAAAACTATGTAAAACCAATATCTTGTATTTTTTAGCCAAATTTAAAGATGTAAGGAGATTGTAAAATCTTATTAAACACTTACTTCCACTCAACGCCAATTTACCTACAGTGACACCAAGCACGATCTTCGGATAAATGGTTAAATTTTGAATAACGCAGGCGGGAAACCCAGTTTTCACAGCAGATGCGCGCGCATTGCCAATATAATACTGGTTCGAGTCTATTAAGTTTCAGCATTATCTCTGAAGAGGGTAGAAGATTAATATAAATTCTTTATAATTTGCTCTAGATATTGAAAGTAGAATCCGAAATGTTTATGTTTCTAATTTTTAATGAATAACTCATGTTGTTCATCATAACTTTGTTTTCCTTCGAACACGTGGAATTAGAAAATGTTTTGCAAAATGATTGTGATGAAATTATAACAAAAAATATATGAATTTCTTGTAAAGGTTTTCTGGGTAGACAATTTATAATTATTTACTATGTGTATGAGATGGTATTCCTTCTTTCTGTGTTATTATAATTTTGTACATTCCTACATCGTTTAGTTGAGTTTTCTTTTGAGTTCTTTCCCGAAATACCAGCTCATTTCCTTTCGTTAATTTTAGCGCATTTTTTTTAGTTCAATTGTAATCTTATCGTGTGGTAGAAAATATAAATATATAGGCGTTGTCATGGTTAGTAGATTATACGATAATTTAAGTCCACAAATCACTTAGTAACTTTTATATACATATAACTACATGCTAATTACTAACTAGGCTTTATCCTAAGTTTCGCCTATGAACCTTATACTGGCTTTAATGTAGTACTGA